ATGATAGCGGGAGCTCTCATGTTAGTAGGTATAATAGTTATAAGAATTACTACATTAATTATCAAGTTTTTTTTATAAATCAATAATAAATTAATTAAAAAATTTTTCAACTGAACGAACCTATACTGCTGTGTCCCCGCTACTCTATGAAAAATATATTTCTATATTTCGTTATATTTGTCGTTTAAGTAGTAAGGTGTAGAACGTATATAATTTAAATGTTTTTAAAAGACTGTTCTGTTGTAAATTTAGAGAAACGATATATCGATACATTATTATCGAACTAATCGTTCGACAGTTATTAACTACCTTCACAACGATTTGCTGACGTTCTACTCAAAGATGGCGGTGATGAGTACGCCATGTTTTTTTGTGATGTTCGCGCATTAGACAAATTTTTTGAGAATCGTAATCCGTATGAGCAAAATGGCTGATGATGACCCGTGGTTATTAAAGGAAGACGGTTATTTAAACGTGGACACTGAGTGCAAAAATATAATCTATCATGCTAATCTAAATGTGTTATTAATCACTACTGGCAGTGCGCAAGTATACGTAGTTGATGTCAACTCAGGAGTGATATTGCAAAAGAGTTCACTGTCGGGTAAGCATTTCGGTGTATCTTTGCTTTACGGATATTAATTGTTTGGTATTAACAAATCGTTTCATCATGTATTTCATCAATGATTTCTTTGCATTGGATCTAATTATGCCTCATGATCAAGGTCGTGTACGCGTATAAAACGTCAGGCGTGACTAAAGTTTTCCTTTTTTATTCAAGTGTTTTCATAATAAAACAATTGATTTTTTTTCCTGAATAATCAAGTAATAATTTCATTATTTTTTTGTTGTAAAGTTTTTCAAATTTCTGCTATTATTTCAATATTTTCCTCAAGCAGCTTGCATTATTATTCCATGTTAATGCCTTGTCTTACCTTTGCGAGGTAAGTTGATGTTTCAGTTTCATATGTCACTCTTGTTGACAATCACAAAATGTATATGCTTTGAAAATAAAAATTTTACCAATATAGACAAAAAATATGAACTCTCCTTATGAAGTAAAGTTTGGCAGTTTAATAATAATTTTCATTTCTACAGGGAAATTACATGGGAAACTTCAAGGTACATATTTATCAAATGGTGTAGATAAGATATTATATACCGATGGAAGAGGAATTGGAGTACGTAGTGATTACAATGGTATACTCCTTTTGGACACTCTTTTACAAACAAATGTTTCAAGAAGTGAAGATGTTGTGAAGCTAGAGTTAATGTATTCTGAAGCTAATTTGTTAGATCAGTGTCTACGATGTGTAGAGTTACCAGGTGTAGATCATGTGCAAGAAGTTATACAAGAATTAACAAGCAAGACTTTTACAGTGGAAGCAAGCCAAAAGAAAGGAATTAAGGCCCAAAAAGTAAGAGAAAAGAGAGAAGTATTATAAATTCATTAACTGAATTTCTAATTTGATTTCTTCTATTCAAAATAGTGGAATACAGTATGTCTGGAACTACCACATGGTTCCTTGAAGCTTGTGTGTTCAGGATTAGTAACAGAATTAAAAAGATTAAATAGATATATTCCTGCATTACCAATTGCTTCTGCTATTAATGAACGATTAAATGGCCTATTACCGGGCCTGGCATTAGAAGGGAGTCCTGCTGATAGAGCATTAATGTTTAGCGAAGAAGTTCGCAGAGAAACATTTTCAAAATGGCCACACATAAACTACGAGTATAACATTTTAATGATGACTATTATATGCTAATTGTAAGTTTTGTATGTATACTTCATGATACTCATATTTTAGGTGGGCTTTACCTGACCAAATGGCTCAGTTTGGTTTATACCATCACCCAAATGGAACAGGTGATGACAGAGTAATGTGCTTTACATGCAATGTTTGTTTAGTTTGTTGGGAACCAAAAGATGAACCTTGGTCAGAACATGAACGTCACTCTCCTGCATGTCCTTTTATTAAAGGAGAGTATACACAAAACGTTCCTTTATCAGTTACCCTTGCCACTGCTCCAGCACGGGAGACAGGTGATGTCATAGATGTGATTAGCACTACAAATGTTAGTGGTCTTGTGGCTACAGCTTCCAGTAGTGGTTTTATAAGCATATGGAATGTAAAGAGACAATTAAAGGTAAATGTTTGGTATCAAACACTAATTAGGTTTTTCAAAAATATTTCAAATATTGTGATTCTTGCAGAAGGAAGTTTCATTTTATGTAGCTCCAATTGAACAAGAAATAAATAATAAAGAATCTATACAGTTTGGTTCTACTAGAACTTTGTCATCATATTTGAGGACACTCAACACTGAAACAGATCCTCTGTCAGAGTACAAGTATCCAGCTTCTCATAAAGTGCAAATTACGGCACTTTCTGTAGTAGGATCTCCCATATCACAAAACAAGGATGCGAAGACTTCTGGACCTATGCTTTCACCTGTAGAAACCTCAGACTCTAAAATTAGGCCATGTGTAATGTGTGCTGTTACAGTGACGGTTAGTAATCCATCGCAATTAAGGACTTTAGAAAATGTGTGGGCCGCATCAACACATTTAGCTCCTTCATCGTCTCTTGTTCGTGCAATGAACAGTGTAAATAGCGCTGCCAGTGATACTTTAGATATAATGAAAGTGGCAGGTGATAGGTATACACCATCGAAATTGCACTATTTAGTACTTTATGATTTCCATCATAAGACTACAACTACACAACCAATTAAAGAAGATAACACTAAGGATTCTAAAGCAAAGAAGACATTATCAGGAACCGGAACCAGCGCTAGTTCGAATGGAGAGCGACATGAAAATCTGTACCAAGATTTCTTGCTTGGCAAATTTTTGTACGAAGTTCCAGTGATAGAGGATGTAGATTCAGACCTAGTAGTTGGTTCGCATTTTGATGGTATCTTTCCAGCGTCTGCTCTGACTGCATCATCTTCCAATGGAATTTATTCCAATCCCATTGGTATCACAGTACCTCCTACATCAAGCTCGTTCGATGCAAATTTCAATCCTATCAGTGGCCCAGAACATTTTGCATCAACGTCCGATTTGACGACGATGAATAAAAAGAGTTTAGACATCATGAAGATAACAAAGACTGAACCAGTTGTTATAAAAACTGTACCCATCGAAGCCCCTGATAATATTAAAATCACTTACGTCGGGCCAACTGTAGATGGCAGGTATTTGTATGTCGCTATGTGTCCTACAACAGACAACACAGATTCATTGGGTTCGAATAATAATCAAATGGACATCGATGAAGATAATGAATTCTTTCCCCAGAAGGGTTATATGTATTGGGACCATGACACACAGTCCGGTAGATTAATAAACGGTGAAGTACACGACGACGCTAGCAACACAAATGCCATATTACTTATGTATGCTTTGGATTTTTCGGGGCAAGTTGTAAAGATCTGCTCTGAACCAGTATTTAGACGAGAGTTCCCGGCAGATGAAGCGCCTCTCGAACATGTATTTTTACCTCTTCAAAGAAAGAGTACACATCCGTTGTTTGATAAAAATACTAGCAAAGGTTCTAATACGAATTCAAGTACATTGGAACCTGTTGGAGAGGTAGCTTTAATATGTAAAGATGGTGTCATTAGAGTACTAAAACTACCATCGTTGAAAACCGTCACAGAAGCAAGGATCGAAGGGAAAAAATTTGTTTCTGCAGCTTACTGTACCAGTAAGTTTCTGTTACATGCATATTAGTATATGAACAGATCGTTGTTCTCAAAATACGGATTTTTTAGGTTTGGAAAGATTGTGCGCATGCACGAGCGACGGTGAGCTTCATTTCTATATTACAACTGACGAAGAAGATTCTGTAGAGGATAAGGAGGATCTCGAAGATGTCACTATGGTGACAACAGAACAGAGCAACAAAAATACAATTCCTAGCACATCTACCTCATCTTGTCCTCAGTAAGAATAGAAAAAGTAATTTAGAAATGTCGTTGCACACGGTACTTTTAGTATGAAGTATTTGTCGTTTTTCCAGGGATCAGTTGATTGCGCACAAACCAAGTTTTTCACATTCGGATTTACGCACTTTATATGAATTAACAAGGTTTGACCGTCAATCCCCCGCATACGGTGCTACTGTTCCACCTTGCTGGAACGAAATGATGCAGGGTAAGAAGCAACGTCGTCATCCGCAGCAACACCACACACGAATCTGGCGTTTACATAACGAATGGTATGGTTCTAAGCCTGATAAAGATATTATTTAATTTTATATTGTGTGATATTCTTTTAATTGTGTTAACTTCGAAAGTAGGACTACATGGGACGAACATGTATTTGAGTTAACTCTCCCTCGAAGTGCGGCTGGAAATATCGGTCACGTCGATGTGAGATTTAGTTCATATTCTGACTGTCAGGAATTGCCAGTAATTCAAATTTCTCTACTCAAGCAAAATGTGAGAAGAATGGGAAGTCAAAAAACCCCGTTGACTTCGGTGGACGAGAGAATAGACTTTAACATAGGTAGCGAGCAGAAGGCGGAAAATCCTGTGGTGACGGAGGAGTATCAGAGACAACACAATACAGAAATTTTATGCGGTCCGATCGAATTGCACCATTACATGGATTTAACATGTAGATCCGGGTGTGTTACACTGACTAGTCCGAAGCTGTTTCGTACAAAAGCGAGAACTCTTCTTGTACACATTAAGACTTTGACTGATCCGACAAAGGATGGCGTAAGATTCAGATCTAATATATTCATATTTCAATTTATAAGAGTCTGTTGAGAATGAAATGTAGTGAAAAATGCAATGACAATTGATTCTAGGTGACAATGAAATCTAAAACTAATACGTTTGCCAGTAAACCTCCTACATTGAAAAAGTTGAGGAGAGTCGACATCAGTCGACCGTTCCTTTCCAGAGACACTTCAGAACGATTAGTCGAAGATTTAAACGGTAAAAAGTTGGAATGTGACATTGGTAAATGTTATGTTTATGAGCTGTCTAGTATATGCGATACTCAATACATATAATTAACTTTCGTAATGACATTCAAGGGTGCGAGTGGATCCACGAAATAGCAATTACTGTCAGAACCATGTATCCTACTAAAATACCGAACGAGAAAGCTGAGCGTTGCGCTATGTTAGAATCTAAAACCTGTTTCGAGAATTTATTGAGAGTGGCTTGTTTGGAAACATCTGACAAGTACGAAGTATTACTGTAAATAATTAAGATGAAACTCTTAGTGCATGGAAACAAGTTAAAAGTTCTACGATTGATTGCAGGTCACCCGTTACGCAGTCCCTTGCGTTAGATATTCTTATATGGATAACCACTATTAGATTAACGAGACTGTACAGTAATCAGAACAACACGAAAATAATATCGTTTCAGTTGAAAACAATTCGTTCCGTTCAAACATGGTTACCTAGTTTATTAAAAACTTGTCTTTTGCATGCTGGTCGAAGCATAACACGGAAATGTATAAAATTAATAATGCTCTGCAGCAGGTATGTTAATTACAGTATTGGTACCGCAAGTGAGAAGAATATCCGTGTAAACTCTGTTATTAACATTAACAAATTACTTTTAGGGATTTTTATAATTTAGAGCATCCCCCATTTAATTTTTTCGACGAGGCTTTGGTTTCTGCATTGGTAAAGCTGTTACCGTCGATAGTAGAGGTTCAGTGGGCTGGCTCATTGCGATGGATACAATTGTTAATTACTAGAATCTTACCGTTAGATAGAGATCACAGTATTGCTCAACAGTGTGTCACTCTAATACAGCAAATAGCTGCTGAATTATCGAACCGAGTAAATCCTTATCATTTGTTACTCGCAACAAGGTATAATTAATCGTTTCAACATATTGCATGAACTTCGATACTCCTTATATACTTAGAAGTAATGATATTGTAAACTAATACAATCAAAAACGAAGCCTCTTTTTTGGGAGTTAAATCTTAAAATGCGAAATTTCATTTACCAGCTTACCGAGTTACTAGCTCACAATGTCATTATTTCTAAATGCAAAGTCACAGGAATTTTCATCATATTGTTTCCCAGGTTTGGCTTATACAGTACTCCGTTTGAAACGGAGCTTTTTGATCTGGACCCCCCGATGCCTCCAAAATACAGTCCGTTACCGTCTACATATGTGTCAGCTGTAACTAATGAACAGACGGTACCATCAACTGCTTCATCCAGTTCGGTGTTTTCACAGGATACTATTGATTTAAGAGACCTGCTTAGTTTACCTACACATCCAGCCAGCGAATTGGTGATGCCTAGTAAATTAAAAGCTTCATGTACTAACCACAGTATGAAGGGATTGCTCGAGGTAACGCATCAAAGTAACTAATTATAATTAACGAACAATGTTTCACGAGAAGATCTCTGGCACAGGTTGAACCACTTCATTTCTCTTGCCACGCCGTTTCTAATGGTACCAAAATGGAAAAAATTGATCCATGTATGAGTACCGGTAATATCGGTGCTCCGCTTTACGACAGCGCTGTTACGAACAATAACGGCGTACCTGATATAAAAACCATTCATCAGACTTATGTAAGTATTCCAACGAAATAAATTGTTATCTTTCTTTTTTCTGTTAGTGCATCAAGACTTCTTCCATTCTTTCTGTTTCTCCTTTACTCTTTCTTCATTAGACTCTTTAATCAAAGTAAGAATTTTCCGGAGCATGATCAGCTTGCGCGAGGGCAGAATAATGTTATTACTTATCTGAAACTGTGACACATAGTAAAATAGTAAAATAAAACAGGCAGGTTGCACGGTTTCTCTTCCGTAATTTGAAATGACGATAAAGTAGTTTCGTGACCGTTTATTGTTGTATAGATGTTTTTTCGGCTAGAAGAAACATAATCCAGACAGAAATCATTGTCCATTGTAGAACTTGGATGCTGGATCGCTAGGACCAGATGTTCAGACTAAGTCGACAACTACATTAAGCGATCTACTTAGTCTCTGTACAGGAAGAGCGTTAAAGAAGCCAGCTTCGCAACTGATGTTCGCGCCTGATAATCAATCAGACTGTGCTGAATCTAACGATATGTCGGTGAACAATCAGACATGGCATGACACCCAAAGTGATATGCCTAATTCGCACATATTAAATTCCGCTTTAACGAAAGAAAAATCCTCTGTACAAAATCTCGGTACTACCGTAAACAAAGTCGAAGACAGCAATCCTAAAAAGGTAGATTACATAGATGAGAAGTTGTACCTCCTTTTTGTTTCTCTCCGTTTCTCACTTCGACGATTTCCTGTCGTTCTTACGATGTTTTGTATAGCTTTATTAATATGCTGTTTACAACTGAGTTTATACATGATTTTTTGTTGATGTCGGAGACACAAAATGCATACACACACATATACAACACATACACCTAGCTAGATACACGAAATGCAGTTTGCATGATAGGCTTCTTATGAACAATTTCGCATCATGCATTCAATGTCAGTGTGATTCTAACATCATTTTACCGTATCGCATACTGAGGTGTTGTTCATCAAATCTAGAACTTACAGAAAAAAAACTCTTAATATATTATTCAGAAAACTAAGGTTTGAATTTG